GAGTTTTCCCGCTCTTGCAGAGTATAATTTTGGACATGATTTCTATAACAAGAATATTATACATTTGACAAAGAATTGATTGGAAGAAACGTTTCAAGCAAGAAGATTCAAACACACACATACTAAACATGAATATGAACCCTTAAGCTATTCAGTAGTTATGAAAAAGACATACACAATAAGTGATTAGAACATGATAGCCAAATGTGTGGGTTACATACATGATATGGAGTTAAGCAATGGACTGATATTTGTTTATAAGTCCTTTTGAGTTCATTTTGGTGTATTTACATCTGTAAAAGACAGTTTCCGTGCAATTGTGTGAACATAAGGACATGCTCTGTGAAGACCAGAGAGGTTAAAAGGTCTCCTAAGGAATTTCAGTCTGGTTCTTGTCCTCTAGGTGGGGGGAAGTCAATCCAAAGAGCTCGTGATCGTGATTACTATCATGGATTTACATGTGATGGTCATGCTGTGCATCTCTTTGACCATCAATCTTGCTTACTTGCCCCAAAATTGACAATCTCCTTCCTGAGTTGTTCTTTTGTGTTAATGTTGCAAGCTATTCTGTGAAAGAGTTGGGCTTTTGCGCTAATTTGCCCTGTTTAGTAAAACTGGCCCTAAATGTTTAAGTGCTTGTGGTTGAACAATGTTCAAATCCTCAAAACTTTTTACATATGGATAACAAGTCATTCTGAGAAAACATCCCCAGTTTCATTAATTGTTGATGCTCTGGGGTCTAACAGCAAATTATAAACTATCAGACATTTCAACTGACAGATGAAGGTCATAATACTAAGGTTGTCCACTAGATGGAGTCATAGGACAATAAATATTTTCTACTCAGTTTCCATCTGAATGAAATGAGATGGAATGAAAAAATAAATGACTATAATCAGTTGATACATACTGTACTGGCAATATACTGTAGTTTTATAGTATTATTTTACAAATGCTTACAGATTATTAAAATCATTTTTTTAAACATATACATTATTAAACGTTTTATCTATTCTTTCCTTTCTCTCTGCTATATTCTAAAATTGCATTTGTATACAAAACTTTGAGCAACTTTTTTTTTTTTTTGTGTGCTTTTGGCCCTTTTGAATGTTCCCTGTCTTTTTGACATGCTTGCTGTATTTACTGTGCCTGCATTTCTTGTATAAGCATTTCATGCTTGTCGCACCTCTGGTGCGTGGCCCCAAATTGCTGCTTGCTGCTATATTTATTATTATTATTCTGGCTGGCAGTTTATGGCAGCCCTATTAATCTTACATAGTTAAATCAATTTTTAAATCATTTTCAAAGTTTTTAAATTCCTTGTTTTATTGTTGTGATTATTTTTTATTATTATTTTATTTTATTTTATGTAAAGCACTTTGAATTACCATTGTGTATGAAATGTGCTATATAAATAAACTTGCCTTGCCTTGCCTTAAAATGACTGCTGAACATGAATAGACGCCTGACCAAATAGCATTAGTTGAAAAAGCCCCATTTAACTAACTAACTAACTAAATAAATAAATAAATAAATAAGCATGTTAGAATACATCAACTAAAACATTTAACACTTTATTTTCCTCATTTATTGTAAGTAAGAATCATGTTATTGAACAAACACTCTGGTTTTCCAAAGCTGATGAACTATAAGAAATCCTTGAACTATTTCTAAGCTTTGTTATGACTGAATGTGAGACAGTAATGACCAGACTGCGACTAAATACTTAATTAGCTTTCATTGCCTGCAACATAGCACCAGCAGGTGTGGTGATGGACATCCACTCAAATAGCAGAGTCGCCATTCATATAGCGTCTGCCTGTCTCCTCAGTCTATCTTATTTTCTTTTTCTAGTAATGGCCAGCTTCTCTATTTTAAAAGAATTTTTTAATTGGCTGTTACCTGAGAATGTTTTTATTCCCACATCCCGTTTGTCAGCTTCTCTCAGCTTACTTCAGAGTTACATTCTGAAAACTACACATTTACTCCTCACTTCACTCTATCATATCATAATACCATATATCATTTATATAGCTTTAGCGTATCGTATCAGATTACAGGGTGTCTCTAATGTTTATAAAATGATCTATCTAAAGAGGACAGCCAGAAACACTCCACATGAATGAAAGGGAAGCTATATATTTACTTTTTTAAAGTAAAAGTAAACCTAAATGTCTGTTCAGTAGTTCCTATATAACAAAAGACAGTTTATTAATGGTAATGCTTCCACCCACCTGTAATGAAAATTGCATGTAGTATATGATAGTTTAACTTTCACTGGGAGGTTTTTTTCTACATCTTGAAATTTTGGGCCATATGAGTTCCTGAACATTATGAATGATGGGTTATGTCAAATTAGATGCAGTATTATGCACAATGCATTATTAGAGATAGTGTTGATTTAGCGTGTGCCAAAGACACTGCACTTTGGTATGTTTTAGACCTGAGACAGTCTTGCACACTTACTAAATGTTGCAAGTGGCCAATATTACAAGTTTACAACTCAATTCTCCAAGGCACAGTAAACACATACTACCCCCACGCACCATCCTGGTTATGTTTAAATAAAATAATACTGGACCATAGTTGCTTGTGCTATGAACTTAATGAGTAACACAAAATGCCATTTAATTGTGCCAAGTAGATGGAAATTTGCAGGTATATTTGGCAATAGTCAAAGAGAAGAAATGCTGAACAGCAATCTGTTTTTACTTGCACAGCTGCTCTAGCTTGTAAAATGATGCAACATGTTGTAGATTGTATTTTAGAACAGTTATACTTATTAGAGGAAACAAACAGGGTGGTTTTGTGTTATTGGATTTAATTGATGTAATACATTTATACCTTACTCAGATCTCATTAGTAATCATGTGTTGTCTCTCTGGCAGCCTTGCTGCGAATGGGCTCTTGGTCTGAGGCACGCACATGAAAGGAACATGGTCAATGGGCTAACCACAAGAAACAAAATGATTCTTTTTCTGGTGTTCACTCATTAGAAGATTCTCCCCTCTCATCATTCTCATGACTGTCTCTGTTTATAATAATGGTATATATATATATATATATATATATATATATACAGTATATATAAACAGAGACAGTCATGAGAATGATGAGAGGGGAGAATCTTCTAATGAGTGAACACCAGAAAAAGAATCATTTTGTTTCTTGTGGTTAGCCCATTGACCATGTTCCTTTCATGTGCGTGCCTCAGACCAAGAGCCCATTCGCAGCAAGGCTGCCAGAGAGACAACACATGATTACTAATGAGATCTGAGTAAGGTATAAATGTATTACATCAATTAAATCCAATAACACAAAACCACCCTGTTTGTTTCCTCTAATAAGTATAACTGTTCTAAAATACAATCTACAACATGTTGCATCATTTTACAAGCTAGAGCAGCTGTGCAAGTAAAAACAGATTGCTGTTCAGCATTTCTTCTCTTTGACTATTGCCAAATATACCTGCAAATTTCCATCTACTTGGCACAATTAAATGGCATTTTGTGTTACTCATTAAGTTCATAGCACAAGCAACTATGGTCCAGTATTATTTTATTTAAACATAACCAGGATGGTGCGTGGGGGTAGTATGTGTTTACTGTGCCTTGGAGAATTGAGTTGTAAACTTGTAATATTGGCCACTTGCAACATTTAGTAAGTGTGCAAGACTGTCTCAGGTCTAAAACATACCAAAGTGCAGTGTCTTTGGCACACGCTAAATCAACACTATCTCTAATAATGCATTGTGCATAATACTGCATCTAATTTGACATAACCCATCATTCATAATGTTCAGGAACTCATATGGCCCAAAATTTCAAGATGTAGAAAAAAACCTCCCAGTGAAAGTTAAACTATCATATACTACATGCAATTTTCATTACAGGTGGGTGGAAGCATTACCATTAATAAACTGTCTTTTGTTATATAGGAACTACTGAACAGACATTTAGGGTGTGCTCACAATTCAGTTCTCTTGATTCATTTGGTTTGGTTCACTTTGTGTTCACAGTGTACTTTTTAAAACCAAACCTAAACAATGAATCGTTTGTTGTATTGCTCAACTGTAAGTCGCTTTTTATAAAAGTGTCTGCTAAATGAATAAATGTAAATGAAAATGTAAATAAAATAAACACGTAAAGATGTAGTGAACAACAGTCAAACTGGCATTCCAATGACCAGTTTATGGCAGGGTTCCTCTCTAACTGCCGGTGTGGAGGGAGGTGTGGAGACTCCCTCTACCTAGCTCGTATCCTATAAATTATCACAAGCATGTATTAACCTGTGATATTACAAATATTCAAATTGGTAAAATATACTGAGGTTAATGTCTCCCTGGACGCCCGTTGATAAAGTGTATACTATCAATTTTGGAATCAGTTCAATCAGGTTGATTTTGAATCTTAAGATTCGATTCCCCCCCTTTGAAAACCTGAGCTAAAATAAGAGTTAATTTTCCCTTTTTCCTTACACGAAGTAGTAAATTGTTCTTTAAATAATAAGTGTTAAATAATAAAGAACCATATTTTGTTTGCTCATCTGAAAAAATTATCCGATCTGTGACTCAAAATGTGATATGATAATGTAATGTAATCCGAACTGTGAGATTTGTGATCCGTTGCACCCCTACTCTCTTGACTTGTTATTTGAAGAAAAAATAGAATATATTTTATTCGGGCTAGTTAAATAAATTTTTGTGCAACCAAAATCTGAAGAATTTCTGCTCGAAGGGCTACCGTTGATTTTGAAATTTTGTGAGCCCTGAATAGACTCTGACTCCCTAGCATGGGGAAAAACTAGTTGCCCTGTTCCTGATGTCCCCAGCCCAGCACTATCCAAGGATAGCCGACTGCGACAGCTTAGGGAATAAGCACATGACATTGAAGTGTTTAATCCTGATACCCCTGAAGCAACATAGAGTTGTACCTTAAGGATGTAAACTATGCATTGTCCTATATCCCTGAGGTCACTATGGCAGATAAACTCCTTCTGAGGAAAACAACAGTTCGAACTGTCCATGGTTTCATGGAGAGACAAAGCCCAGCCATCGCTGGCAATTACCATGAACTGTGTAGGGCTCTGAGAGCCGAATATACAGCCCCCTGGCAGTTCAAGGAGGAGTGGCTTCCGACAACAGAGCCTCCTCTTGTAAGTGTTAATGCTATCACAAGCAGGCAGGCAAGGAACACAGTGACAGCCCCCGCTGACAATCCTCAGACTGTAGTGATAGGCAGAGAGCTATCAGATACTGATCTTATTGCTATGCAACAGCAAGACCCTGTGATCAGTACTATTTACTTATTCATTTCTGACCCAGTCAAGCATCCCATAACTGAACAAAATTTGACAGAGTCAAGTGACCTGAAAACTCTGTACTTTATCAGACACTATCTGAGGTCAGAGAAGGGTATGCTAGTATATGCTCCTGAAGAGAACACACCAACTCAGTGGGTGGTCCCAACAGCCCACAGAGGAATTATGCTCTTGCATACCCATGACGAACCCTGTGGAGGCCACAGGGGGTGAAGGCGACACATGAGACTCTCCGTCAGGTAGACTACTGGACACAGATGAAACCAGACATTGCAGCATATACCTTGATTCAGATCAAGGTACTCACTTCACAGCCACGGTAATGGCTGAACTGTGGAAAATGTTGGGTGTCCAGGCGAAGTTCCACATTTCCTACCAACCTTCGCCATCAGGGCAGGTAGAGAGATCAAACCGCATTATTGTAGGGATGTTGAGGAAGTACATTTCAGCTTACGAAAAGGACTGGGATGTAAAACTGCCCCTGGTCTTAATGGCAATTAGGTCCACACCTCATAACTCCACAGGTGAAACACCGTTTGAAATGATGACAGGGCGACAGATGACACTCCCTCTGTATCTCCTCTACTAACCTGAAGATGTCAGTGTAGCCAGCGCATACACTGCCCACCAGTATGTGGCAGACCTGAGGGCTCACCTCAGGCAGACATTCGCATGGACGCAAGAACACTTGGAGAAAAGTGCTGAGGGCAGGAAAGCATACTATGATCAGAAGGCTAGTTCTACAGAATTTCAAGTAGGAGACCAGGTGATGTACTTCAACTTTACCAAACCAGTGGGTGTCCCCAAAACGTTTCTCCCAAACTGGTCTGGCCCTCATGAAATTGTAGGGAAACTATCCCCAGTAGCCTACCACATTAAAATCTCAGAAGGGAGAAGGTCCCCTGAGTACAAGTGGGTCCACTTTAATCAGATCAAGTCTTACAAACCCCACATGGGAATACAAGGGGTAGATACCACTCAGGAGTAACTCCTGCTAAAGCACATAGTTTCAGGCAGTGTAGAGAAGTCTATACTGTGTCAGGCACTGGAGCCAGTGCACCTGTGACTGGTTGTTGTACTTAAGCGTAGTGGTATTTGTTAGTTGTATTTGAAAGTTGAGTTTATAAGTAGTGAAGTGACACTACGTATATGTGTAATTTCAGAATGAACCTGCTCTGCATAACCATTGTGATCTGCATACTCAATTCAGCCCAGCCCCTGGATATAGTGAGATCAGGCCCTCCAACTGGCATTTATACTCCAGGATGCCCCTGGAATTTTAGTGACTGACTGTTATGTGCATACTCAGAGAGTGTTTGTGTGGCTGGACCCTGCTGACGTGTATAAGAAACATGTCACCTCAGGGGGGATGGTACCCTGGCACGCTGTTCAATGGAGTGAGAATATCATAGGGCATGCTCAGTTAGACACAATCCACATGCTTAAACAGCTTTTAATTGTTTGACAACAACAACAATAATAATAATAATAATAATAATAATAATCTATGGTATTTATTTTGGAACATATTTTCATAATAATAATAATAATATGCATGGTAATTTTATTTATAGTGTGGCGCTGTGTGAATTAAAGGCTTGTAATTACCATATTGTTCATTTTACCTTTTATAGCACTTTTTCACAGCACAAGTTTCTATGGTCTATTCAATCTGGTTTGGTCTAATGTTCAAATATATCATGATGAATTCAAATGAGTCACTTGCAGTGGTTCCCTGCAAACAAGCCTGCACTGGCCCTTTACGGGCCCACTTAGGGCTGCCAGCGCAGGGCCCCTGAGAATTTGCTCATTGGCAAAACATTGGCCCCTTAGCACTGGCCCTGCACGGGCAGCCCTCACTTAGCCTCCAGGGGTGTATTCCAGAAAGCACGGTTAATTTACCGTCAGCTAAACCCTGAACTTAATGTTGTGCGCTATCTGTCACGCCCACTGAAGGCTCGTCAGTAGATCACACGTGCGCTGATAGCACTGCAGTGAACTAACCCTGGAACATAACCTGCTCCGGAGCAGGTTATCTTCAGAGAGCAAGTTACTATGGTTACTTACATACCCTGAAAGTAACCTCCGATTTTGGAACCGAAAGCTGAGGTTATCCGCTCGCTTATCCTCAAACATACCCGGGTATGTCACATAACCTGCTTTCTGGAATACCCCCCAGGAAGCCTCAGTGCTGTTTTATTGAAAACAATCAAGTTTGAATTCATCGTTATCGAGGTAAGCGCTTGCTTTAGTTGGGTTCCTGACCCTTGAATTTTTCATTTACATTTTTTTCTGGCAGTTGTAACTGTGTGTTTTTGAAGCACATTTGTTACAGCAGAAGTTGCAAGAAAATAAACCGATCTGCTGATTCAGTAATCACGTAGTGGCCTGATTCCCTGATCTCACCCAGAGTTTGATCACCATTTGATCAGTTTGTCTTCTCACAACTTTTGCTATAACAAATGTGCTTCAGAAACACACAGTTATAGCAGCCAGAAAAACATTAAAGTTAAGAAGTCAAGGGTCAAGAGCCCAACTAAAGCAAGCGCTTACCTCGATAACGGTGAATTCAAACTTGATTGTTTTCAATAAAACAGCGCTAAGGCTTCCTGGAGGCTAAGTGAGGGCTGCCCGTGCAGGGCCAGTGCTAAGGGGCCAACGTTTTGCCAATGAGCAAATTCTCAGGGGCCATGCACTGGCAGCCCTAAGTAGGCCCGTAAAGGCTTGTTTGCAGGGGTTATCACTTCAACAGAGTAGCAAAAGTGTCAAGCAAGTTTATCAATGCTGTGCAGGATATGGTCCAGCTGCTCACGCACTGCGACTACTGGATGTATATGCGGTTTAATCAGGTAGCCGTTTCATCACTTGGCTTGTGGTCTTTTCACAGGTGCTTCACTAAATGCTACCAATGGCCAGTCAATCTACTCCACATCCATCACGAGCCCCCTCTTTTCTCGGGCCATGGGGCTTCAGCCATGCCTAGCCCTACTGTTAATGTGGCCCTGCCTGTTTAGCCTTATATAGGAAACAAGCAGCCATATTTGAGAGCCAGCACTAGATTTCTACATTTGCACTAATTTATATCATTAACTGTGATGACACTTCAGCCATCAGCTTCCATCCTTCTCTCTCCAGCCCACTTCACACTTGCCAGTAGATGCCATAAGCTTCATGGATCAAGCTGCATGTTTGAGTGATGCTGGCAGAGACCTTCTGTTGCCTGCCTGTGGAGACTGTTTAGTTCACTGGAATCCAATCTGTGTGAGTCCCAAAATATATTACACCAATGAATACATCTAATTCAATGGCATAAATAGCTGCTTGGTGTATAAGGATTTTATTTTTCTAATAATGTATCTGTGGTTATGCCGAGTCTGGAAAAATAGCCTAGATTGTGGAACATCAGCTGACAAATTAAGGGGAAAAAATACGATGTTATAATAATGTTTAAGTGTAAACATTAATGTGTATTTTTTTTAAGTTAGTCAATTTATTTATTTATTTATTTATCTATCAGGATGACACCAAAATCACATAATCACCCTTCCATTGTGAAATGACAAATACATGCTCTCACGAAAATGACAAGGAGCCCTCAAACACACTAATCCATCCACAAAGATAACTCTGCATTCTGACCTTTCATTGGATGTGAGGCCAGCATCAAAGACTGCCCAGCCATTTTCCCATCCATACAGTTGCTATGATACCATAGTCATAAACACAGCAATGCACAAAATTGAGCCCATCAGAAGGCCTTTTGTCCAGCATTCAGACATTTAATGAGTTAGTGGTTGATTAACTCTCATGATTAAAAAGCTGAAGAGGTTGGACAGGGCACTGAAAAGAAATGAAAAGACACAGGGTCTCATTCACTAAGCATGCGTACACACAAATGTGTGTGAGAAACCTGCGTACGAACGTATTCACAAACAAATCATGATTCTCTAAAACGTTCGTCCTAAAATTTATTCTAAATTTAAGAAAAAAATATAGGAACAACTGAAAGCACGTACGCAAATATAACACTCTCTCCGGTCTTAATAATCTATATAATCTATATGCCCTTCACTAATATTGGCACCCTTGGTAAATATGAGCAAAGGCAGCTGTGAAAATAAATCTGCATCATTGATCTTGTTGATCTTTCATTCAAAACATTCACAAAAAGTGGGGAGAGTATCTCATTTTTTATATATTTTATATATTATATATTTTTTCGGTAAGGATATAACTTTCACTTTAGAATAGGGGGTCAAATTGCCTTTATTAGTAATTGTGAACAAGTTAACCATTAATTAATGCTTAACTAATGCATTATTCTGGACCCCTATTCTAAAGTGTTACCATTTTTTCTCCAAAGCATGTTGGCCACAATTATTGGCATGCCTAGACATTCTTATGAGTAAAATATCTCTGAAGTATATTCCCATTCATATTTACATATTTAGGATTGATTTTAAAGTACTTTTACTCGTTTATAAATCACTCAATGGCCTGATACCCAGGTATTATTGGTATGATTTAGGTATGGACCTAAATACATAGCAGATATGTTCACTGAATATAAACCTAACAGACCACTCAGAT